CTTTTTAAAAGACAACGGTGCCGGGCACGATGGCTCACGCCTATAATCCCAGCACTTTGGAAGGCCAAGGTGGGCAGATCACGAGGTCAGGAGTTCAAGACCAGCCTGACCAACATGGTGAAACCCCATCTCTATTAAAACAAAAATTAGGTGGGCATGGTGGCATGCGCCTGTAATCCCAACTACTCGGGAGGCTGAGGCAGGAGAATGGCTTGAACCTGGGAGTCGGAGGTTGCAGTGAGCCAAGATCGTGCCACTGCACTCCAGCCTGGGTGACAGAGCAATATGTAACATATATTTATTTATATAACTAACTAAAGACAATTGTTCAGTTGCATTTTATCTGCCAAGGCCTGTCCTCCTGCATGGAGTTTAGCAACTTTGAACACTGCAGGGTCCAGGCCTGGATTCTGCTGTGCCGTCGAAGCAAGGGCAGACCCCGGGGTCGGCGACACCCTTCCCTAAAAGAGCCACAGATGCCAAGAAACCACGGCCGTGTCTGTGTCAGTTTAGAGGCAGATGCAGCATCAGAGGCCTCAAGACTTAAAAGAAGCTGCAGCCAGCTCCAGAGCCAGTCGCAGACGTGGGTGGTGACTGTCAGTGGAGGCACTCAAATCGTTTGTGACAGAAGGGAGAAAACATTACACAACAGACTACATCAAAAAAACAAACTTGTGTTTCACACAAGAGACTAGAAGGTGTCCTCAACCAGGCACGTCCGCCATCACCTGACACTCGGGAGAGGCACCTGGTCGATGCAAAGGGCATCAAGCGTGGCGTGTTCGGTAACACCTCCGTCTGCATGCCCCCTCGAAAAGCAAACCACCCTAGACACGATGATTTGCTCCGCAGCACCGAGAGGATCCCAAGGGGACGGTCCCCTGAGGCCAGCCCCGTCACATACCTGCAGATCCTCAATGTCGAAGGGCTCTTCGAAAATGTATGCGGCATCGGCTCTGGCCGCGATCCCCCCCATGTTGGCCAGGTAGCCACAGTAGCCGCCCGTGGTCTTGATGAACATGCGCCGCTTGGTTCCGCTGGCGGACTGCTTGATGCGGTCGCAGGTCTGGTCAGAGAAGAGATCAGTCACTCCAGCCCAGGGCCAGGGTGCACCCACCATCCCAGAGCTCCCCTACCAGTGAGTGCAGCAAGGCCCCACACCGCCCTGAGCATGCGTCCCAGCATCGCACAGGGGTGAAGGGTGTGCAGCAGCCGGGATGTGCCTCGGAGTGGATGTGAACATGCCCCCCCCCCAGCCACCTGGAGGTGACCTCGATGACCTGTGGTGGGGACCTGGCCATCTGCCGCTCCCTTCTCCCAGGCCCCATAGGAGGAGACTGAAAAGACGACCCCACAAGCCAGCTCACTCCATGCTGCTCTTCGACTGTCCCTGCTGAAGCAGCTTTCACCAGACACGGACACCGTTAGGTGTGAGCTGAGAAGTTAGGGGGCTGTCACCTGCCAGCTTTGTCCATGGGAACAGCTGTGCTATTCTATTTTCTTCTGAAAAGCTCCCTGTGATTTTAGAGTTGTGGCCGTCTTCCATCCATCGGTGAATGTTACATTTATAGAAACTCTACTCCAAGGCAGATGATGGTTCTTACACCCAGGCGCCTGGGGGTCTTTCGGATGCATAGGCATGAGGTCCCAGAGTGAAATGTCTGCCATCCGCCCTCCACGAGGACCCAAGCTCAGCAGGGAGAAAAACAGCAGAGAAATGCATCTGCCGCCTTCCCACCCACACTTCAGTCCGGGCTACAGCGCCCTCTCCTGGCACTCTGCAAAGCCTCTGCCTGGGCCTCAGCTCCCACCCTGGCCCCCTCCAATCTGTTCACACAGACTGGAGACCCATCTATATAAAAAGCATAAATCTGATCCAGTTCTTGGTTCATTCAAAACCCTTTGCTCACTTCAAGTACACGTTAAGCCTTTCTCTGGAATCCCTGGCCCCGCCCACTTCTGACACCAGGTCCGGCTCTAGCTCCAGCCACCCCAGGTCCTCCTGGGGCTCTGCATATGCTGGCCGCTATGTGCATCACATTCAGGCACAGTGGTGGGCGGGAGAGCAGCCCCCAAAGGAATCCCGGTCCTAATGCCTGGAACCTGGGAATGTTCCCTCATGCGGTGATAAAGGTGAATCCTGAGGACTACCCAGGTGGGCCCTAAGTGCCACCACCTGCATCGGCAGATGAGGGGTGCAGAGGCCCTGGAGTAGGATGCTGCACACCCACATGGGAGGAGGCGGTGCCAGGGAACAAGGCGTGCAAGGCCCGGGGCTCTGGGCACCTGAATGGGCCACGAGGGACTCTCCTGGAGCACACACTCTGGCCTCAGCCCATGGCTCCCGCCCTCCAGAGCTGTGGGAGAGTGACGATTATTTTCCAGCCCCAGGTGTGTGGTCAGGGTCACAGCGGCCACGGACACACACAGGCACCTTCCTCAGCTCTGACCCAGAGGGAAATGCCATTTCCTTAGGAAAACGTCACCTGGTTTCTAGGACCACAAAGTTCCCTCTGTCAGGGGCTCTCGGGGCACCCCATGTCCTCTCTTCATAGAAATCACCCCGGTGTCTCCCTGCAGTTACCTCGTGGTTATGTGACTTGCAGTCCTCACTAGGCTGCACATTCCATGAGGGCAGGAACTGTGGGCTGGGCTTACACCACTGCACCATCAGCAGGACCCGGCCGAGCCCCCCACAGAAGGCGCTCAAGAAATGCTTGTCTCTGAATGACACAAGCACAGTATTCCCCAGCCAGCCAGCCAGCTGTCCGTCTATCCAGCCGTCCGTCCGTCCATCTGGGTCAAGGGCTGATCTGCTGCAGGATTCCCTAACCGGCCTCCGTGGGACTCAGCCAAGAGTAAAAGGATGAAGTGGGGGTGTGGGCTTGAGACTAGGAGCCACATGAGAGTCTGTTCACTAAAGTTTAACACCCACGGGAAATTTTCACTTGAGTACTTCGAATGAAATTTCAATTTGTTGAATAAACACAGGCTTGATTAAACCATTCCAACCTATACTTCGTTTCTCTGGAAGATTCTTTTCCTCCCAAAATAATTGGTTGATGTATTCAAAACTGAACACGGGCTCTAGTTAGAGGGCCACTTTGCATTGTGTAGAAGCCGAGATGGGGGGAGAAACAGGCAATGGGAAGAATTCCCGTCTTTGTGCTTAGGAAGGACAGAGGACAGAAACCCGTCAAGGGTCCAAAGAACCTGTAACTGCCTTCTTGAAGGGCCAGTGCAGAATTCTGAGGGTTTCACTTTTCCACCTGTACTGGGTCTCTCTCTCATTGTGATCTAAGACTTAAGATGCAGTAAGGCTTTCAGATTTGCCCTTTGTCTTAGAGCATCCCGGGCATGGGAAGGAAAATGTGGGTGGGGCATCAGGACCTCCAGAGGCACAAAGCCTCATGGGTTATTTTTCCAACTGAATCTCCCCCACAGCCCACCCTGAGGTGGGGAATTACTGTCACTCATTCAAAGAATGACAGCTGCTTAATGGCAAAAGAATTCTGCAGGCAAAGCAGCTCTCCCAAGAGGCTGATTTGTGCCCAAACGTGTCTGAGTTCTGGTCCCGCCAGGCTGCAGCTGTGGGTGTGTGGAACAGTGGAGCCCTGACAGCTGAGCCATGCCCCCAACCGTGTGCTCCTCTGAGTGTAAATGCAGTGACAGCTGGGACGGAAGAGTCTGCCTTTGCTGGAGCTTAGATACAGCTTTCCTGAACTCTTCCTCATTACCTAGATGGCATCTGAAGCCTGAATTAGCTTCTAAAAATAGCAAGTCACTCCGGCCGTGCCTCAGGCAATTAGTCAAAGTAGCACTGACAAGAAGGCGGCCAATCCCAAGCGTGGCCCTGCGTGGACAGCAGTTGTGAGTGGCACTCGTCAGGCAGAGCCTGTGACCTCAGCCATTCTTGCCACACAATGGGATGTGCCCAGCAGACACAACCCCCTGCAAGGGCACACACGATCCTGCTAGGAAATTCCCCAAGGAGTCCCATGGGAGCGAGAGCCCCAGGCTACAGTTCAAACATCACCAGCACTTTGCTCCATGGGTGTTAAGAAATATCAATTGGTGGTGAAAGATAAGGTGGCGTTTGCTACAGTGTTAAGGTAGAAAAAAGCCACTGACTTCTCTGTGAGAACCACCTTGCTCTGTGAATCTGCAGGGAGGCCAGTTTTCCCATGACTGGTATCCTTCACGGCAGCCGAGCCTCTGCTGAAGTCGGTGGCCAGACGGGGCAGGGTTGGGGCTCCCATCCCTGCTACAGCAAGGGACCTGCAGCAAAGCACAGCCGCTGGCTGGGGTAGTGCTGCGCTGCGTGCCGGGTGCGAGGGTGGAAGCATGTGTGGACATCTACAAGGTGCTAAAGGAGAGCGAAGCCAGCGATGGCTGGACCCTAATGGCATTCAGTGAACAGGGGTCAAAACGCGGGGCCCAAGAAAGTCCAGGGAACGAGCCAGGGCCAGCCTCTGCGGGCCAGCACAGCACCAGGGAAGGCGACAGGGAGAAGCCCAGGAGAGAGATGGCCCTCAACTCGAGTGGGAGGCACAGGAGGCTGCAGCCGACCTCACGACCCTCCGCTCCCTTCCCTGCACTGGAACTCAGTTCTGAAGGAAGAACCCGGAACAGAACTGCTGTTTTCCGAGGTTCTGTGCCAAGCTGAACTAAGGAGTCTCCAACAGGGCTGGGAGTTTTCACCGCAAACTCCGGAGCTGGTTCAGACGTGAACATCGAAGCTAAAGGCCAGCGGCTGCTCTCCAGGAGACACCCGGCGGCCAATCCACTGACATGACCCCACATGCCAAGGTGGCCACTGTCCTGTCTGCAGCCGAGTGAGGACCCTCTCTGCAGCAAAGGCCTGTGGAACTCCCACAGGTCCTCATGTCCAGCTCATGACCATAGAGGTGGGTCAGCTTATCAGGGACTGGAGGGGCCACCATGCGGGTGTCAGCACCACGCCCATGACTGGCAGAATCCACTCCTCCCAAAGCACATGTTGGTGAAACTGCCTGCCCAGGAGGCATGATCTCGGCTCTTTAAAGATCCTCTCATCTCACCAGGAAGGCTGTGGTTCCAGGCAGCGGCCCCCAGTGGGCACAGCTCTGTCCCAGAGCTCGTACGTACCAGGCACTCAAACCCCTTCCTGCAGGTCCACAGCTGGCCCTGCAGCCTCGCTACTCAACGCAGGCGGAGAGGCCGGCTCCAGAGAAATGGTGCTCAAAACTCCCCTAGTCTAGGTGGGATAGAAACACGACCCAAGGACTGGATATATCATCTCGCTTTTAATAAAGACAGGTTCTCCCTAAGGCAGAGAAGCTAAAAAATTTACCCTGTTCTGGCCAGTGTGACCGACATAAAGCCAAGCTAACAAAGGGGGGGGGGGGGGAAGAGTAATAATAAATCTGGCTCATTCTTAGCACAGAAGAAACAAATTGCTAAAATAAAATAAAGAAAGCAATGGGAGGAAACGGGGTTCTCTTACCTGGACAATAGCAGTCAGGCCAGTGTCGGTGCCCAGGCTTATTTCTGTGCCTGGGACATTGTTGTTAATCGTGGCCGGCACCACACAGGGGGATGCAAAGCTCCCGGTGGTGGCCTTGCGCCTCAGCCATGTCGCACGTGCTCTTGTAAGCCTGAAGCAGCAGGGCCAAGCAGTTAGCGGGGTGCTGGGTGCTCACATGCCAGCCCAGGGCCTCCACTGAGGTCCAGGAAGGGACAGCAGGGACCTGAGTCATCAGGGGAAGCCGGTTCATGTGGGTCAGGGGACCAAGGGGAGCTCTGGAGGCCATGTGGGAGCAGGACAGGCCTTAGCAACACAGGGGACTGCCTGGGCACAGCCCAGGTCCTCTGAAAGGGGAGGCGTGCAGGCAGCACAGCAGGGTGGGTGTGAGGCCGGCAACAGAGCAGCTTGCAGGCAGCGGCAAGTTAGTCACGAGCGGGACAGCTCAGCTCTCGGCATCTCATCGTGGGTAAGCGAGGCCAGGGCAGTCAGGACATTTGAAGGCAAAGCCAGTCCTGTAGCTTTCTGTAGGCAGTCCACGATCAGTGGATGGGGCACACAGCTGTAAGGACCACTAAGTGACTGCCTTCATCGTGCAGAGGCAGCCTCCACGCGCAGGCAGGGAAGGAGGCGGGCAGCTGGATTACCAGTGGGCCACACTCAGCCCCACGCCACATCTCTGCTCTCCGGCGGGAAGTCACACGCAAAGCCACACAGGCGAGCAAGAACCTGAGTTGCTGCTCTGAGGTTCCACTGGGAAATGGGCTCTGGTGTCAGAAAGGGGAGCGGTTCTTGAGCCCGTGTGCACCGGGCTTTTTCAGGCTCCACCTCAGGGTGTTAACCAAGATAACAGCAGGACAGGTCCACATGCCCACTGTTCCCAGCTCCAAGGCCCCACACAGCAAGGTGTTTTTGTCATCCACTTGGTGGCAAAATCAACTATTTATGGACTTGGACGTGTCCCTCTTACTGTGAATATCCCCACATCTGCTGCAGAAATGCTACTGTTGGGATGCAAGGCGGTCCCACATCTCCCCGGAGAGTTGGACAGTGAGCGACCCAGGCTCTGCAGCCCTGGTGCAACCCAAAGCATCCCAAGGCCAGTAGCCCGTGTGGGCCGAGGGCTTCGACAGTGGGTGCAGATCCGTGGCAGGTGAGTTCACAGCATGGTGGGTAGCAGGGTAAGGGGTGGGTCAGTGCTGGTGACCACGAGGTGAGCTGTGAGCAGGGGCCCCCGTGCCCCATGGCATGGCCTCCACGTCCACCCAGACCCAGCACATGCCCAGCTCTTGGGCTGCTCTGTACAGGCTCTGCCTTGCAGGCTCTGGCCATGGCAGTTTTTGCAGGACTTCAATCCAAATGCCAGCCTGCTTCCCAGCCAGAAACACTCATCTGGGGATATTGGCTGGCCTGGTGCCCAGGATGTGGCCCTGTCAGCACCACCACGTGGGGCTCCTTATGCTCTTCAGACAGGTGATGTCACTCCTTTATGTGGAATAC